AATTCTATAATACCTCAAACGATGCCTTCCAGCATGCTCGCGTCTTGAAAGTTAACTTTCCTATCGTCTACAAAATATGACAGAACAATTACATATAACCATCCAGTAGTGTGCTGCCCACAGTTATGAAGACAGTTGCAGAACAATCTTTAATTATGACAATTTTTGCTCTATACACGCTTGATAATTATATCTGACTTCATAAAGCTCTACATAGAGCGATAAATTGTCACAGCAGAAGCTTGCTCTGTCCCTGTGTCTTTTCCTCATTAGCCAAACAGTGAAACCAAGACAGTGGTAGAACGAAATCAGCAATACACAGGTCAGTCGTACCCTCAGCTCAGCCATACATCCAGGTCAGCGCCTCGTGGCTCATCTGGGCGATAAAGTCCTCTCGGGTCAGCCCACAAAGAATAGAGAAATTGCACAGAGGGAGCGGCGCGTGATTGGACTTTATTTCCAAATGAGTTGCCGAGACGCGGGGGTTCCAATCACCGCTGTTCTAACCTGTGGAATTTCTCTTTGCAGGATGTGGCGCTTGACGGCGACGCTGCTGGTGGTGACCCTGGCCTCGGCTACTCCTCAGGGAGGTTATTTACCTCCTCCACCAGCTGTAGTCTGTGAAACGGTCACTTCTGTAGTTTATGACACTCGAGTCCAGACCTCCGTCAGTGTCCAGACCGTAAATCAGGCCAACACACAGTACGTCACCACCACCTTGGTCAGACAACAGGTCGTACCAACAACTGTCTTCCAGACTCGCGTCCAAACTCAGGTCCAGTACCAGACCAGTGTGATCCAGCGTACGACCACCCTTTTTAATGACAGAATTGTGACCCAAACAATCCCAAGCCCACCTCGTCAAGAAATTGTTTACGTTACGTCAACTCGCGTTGTGCCACAGGTCAGTTACGTCACTAGCACACAGGTGCAAACACAGGTAATACCTGTGGAGGTGGTTCGCACTCAGGTGCAGACCATAAATCAGCCCGTGACCATCTACCAGACACAAACACAGCAGCAGACCCAAGTGGAGTCAGTCCCAGGCCCTGACATAGTACAGACCCGTGTTCAGACCGTCTTTCAAACTTCCATTGTGAGGCGTCAACAGCTAGCCAACACACGTTATGTGACGTTAACGCGTGTACAACAAGTAGTGCAGACCAGCGTCGTTCGTGGACAAGATGATATCAGGACCAGTTTTGTTCAACATCAACAGGTCATCCCTTATACTTCCGTCAACACCCGTTATGAAACAGCTTTCACTACTCTTGAGCAGGTGGTGACCAGGACCAGTGTTGTCACTCAGACATTGATCAGCACGCAGGTAGTTCCTCAGGAAGTCGTAAGTACACAGGTCGTACCCAACATCATCTACACCACCATCTACGAGACCAGATTTCAGCCCTTCACTCAGGTACAGACCGTGGTCCAGACCCAGTACGTCACTCCCGCTCCTGTGTACCAGACACGTGAAGAAACCAGAACCTCAGTGGTGCAAGTGCCTGGCCCGGACCGTGTGGTGACCCAACAGGTGGCTAAGACCCAGCAACAACAACAGGTGGTCTATCAGACCATCAACCAGCCCCAGCAGGTCACCATCACACAGACCATCACAGCCACCTGTGGCAAGACAGGATACAACTACAACGCTCCAGCATCTCCCTTTAACTTTGGCAAATAAACAATATAAGCGTGTGAACTTGAAAACATTTTAGTGAACATTACATACAAGCGCAGCCTGAAACATTAGTCACATAAAATCTAGGGTTAAGTAAACAACATTGCCACGAAGACATTACACTGCATCTCTACACAATATTTTCAGAGAATCGTACTTTTATATTTGTTAATGTGAAAATATAAACTAAGAATTTATTAAATGTTTACAATTTAAAACCAGCACTCCAGAATCACAAATTAACTTCGACGAAAGGTAGGCATTAATGTATTCTGGCAATATTCACATAATATTTATATACGGATGCTTCTCTTCTCCCTCCTTCTTCCCATTTTGTTTTACGGCTGTATTTGTGTGTACTCACCTATTTGTACTCACCTATTTGTGGTTGCAGGGGTCGAGTCCTAGCTCCTGGCCCCGCCTCTTCACCGGTTGCTACTAGGCCCTCTCTCTCCCCGCTCCATGAGCTTTATCAACCTCGTCTTAAAACTGTGTATGGTTCCTGCCTCCACTACGTCATTTTCTAGGCTATTCCACTGCCTTACAACTCTATGACTGAAGAAATACTTCCTACTATCTCTCTGACTCATTTGTGTCTTCAACTTCCAATTGTGGCCTCTTGTTTCAGTGTCCCCTCCCTGGAACATCCTGTCTTTGTCCACCTTGTCTATTCCACGCAGTATTTTATATGTCGTTATCATGTCTCCCCTGACCCTCCTGTCCTCCAGTGTCGTCAGGCCGATTTCCCTTAATCTTCTCATAGGACATTCCCCTTAGCTCTGGAACTAACCTTGTCGCAAACCTTTGTACTTTCTCTAGTTTCTTGACGTGCTTTATCAAGTGCGGGTTCCAAACAGGTGCTGCATACTCCAGTATGGGCCTGACATACACGGTGTACAGTGTCTTGAATGATTCCTTACTAAGGTATCGGAATGCTGTGCTCAGGTTTGCCAGGCGCCCATATGCTGCAGCAGTTATCTGATTGATGTGTGCTTCCGGAGACATGCTCGGTGTTATACTCACCCCAAGATCTTTCTCCTTGAGTGAGGTTTGCAGTCTTTGGCCACCTAGCCTATACTCTGTCTGTGGTCTTCTGTGCCCTTCCCCTATCTTCATGACTTTGCATTTGGCAGGATTAAATTCGAGAAGCCATTTGCTGGACCAGGTGTCCAGTCTGTCCAGGTCTCTTTGAAGTCCTGCCTGGTCCTCATCAGATTTAATTCTCCTCATTAACTTCACATCATCTGCAAACAGGGACACTTCTGAGTCTAACCCTTCCGTCATGTCGTTCACATATACCAAAAATAGCATTGGTCCTAGGACCGACCCCTGTGGACCCCGCTCGTCACAGGTGCCCACTGTGATACATCATTACGTACCATGACTCGTTGTTGCCTCCCTGTCAGGTATTCTCTGATCCATTGCAGTGCCCTTCCTGTTATATGCACCTGATGCTCTAGCTTCTGCACTAATCTCTTGTGAGGAACTGTATCAAAGGCCTTCTTGCAGTCCAAGAAGATGCAATCAACCCACCCCTCTCTCTCTTGTCTTACTTCTGTTATTTTATCATAAAACTCCAGAAGGTTTGTGACACAGGATTTGCCTTCCGTGAATCCGTGCTGGTTGGCATTTATACTCCTGTTCCGTTCCAGGTGCTCCACCACTCTGTGTGTGTGTGTGTGTGTGTGTGTGTGTGTGTGTGTGTGTGTGTGTGTGTGTGTGTGTGTGTGTGTGTGTGTGTGTGTTTTACGAAATTAAATACGTAATATTTTTTTTTATTTTCGCCAGGATGAGGTCGTTACTGTTGTCGTTACTGGTGGGTTATGCACTGGCAGCCTCGGTGGAGCGACAAAAGCGACAAGTTTTTGGAAATGGACTTGATCTACAGTCATCTTTAGGTGGGTACCTTCCACCACGACCAGAACCCTGTCAGCCGTCTACCGTCTACCGTACACAGACACAGTACTCCACCCAGGTCATCCCTACCACCGTCTACAACACTGACGTGCAGTACGTCACTCAGACGTCTGTCCGTACACAGCAGGTCTACACCACTGTCTACTCCGAGATCGTCCGCCACAAGTGGTTTCTTCCGTCCAGTACCAGACAGTGACCGTCACACGCACCAGGACAACGTCCGCACACAGGTCGTAACTCTGCCTCCTCAGATCAACTACGTCACTAAACGCAACAAGACGTGAGGACACAAGTTCAGTATCAACTGTATACTCGACACGCATCCAGCAAGTACCATCAACAATTATCAGGACGTGGTGTCGACATTAGTAGTTCCTCAACAGGTAGTCACACAATCTACCAGACCCAGTATGTGACCAGAACCAGCAGGTCCCAGGACAGACCCGTACAGTGGACAGTACTCAGTACAGTACCATCTACTCCACCGTGGTGGTACCTGCTCAGGACGTGGTGAGTACAACTCAAGTTATCCGCACCAACGTCGTCACTCAGACCATCACTCAGCCAGGTCAGACCCAGGTTAAATTACCCCACCCAGGTGGTACCCGTCACTACCACCATCTTCTCCCAGGTGGTGCTTACCAGCACCCAGACACAGTACGTGACACGCACTCAGGAACAGCAGGTGGTATCTACAGAGCAGGTGCCGCAGTATATTACCAAGACAGTAACGGTACCACAACAAGTAGTGAGTACCCAGGTATCAACACAGGTGGTGCCCACAACCATCTACACTCAACAAGTGGTGCCATCTGTTGTGAATCTTCCGGCCCAGACACAATACGTCACCGTCACCACTACCTCCGTCAGTACTGTCCAGCTGCCAGGTCAGACCCGCGTAGTATACATAACTACGACACTCTATAACACTAACTACGTCACCTCCACCGTCTACAACCAACAGGTCAACACTGTAACAGCCACCAGCACCTACCAGCCCAATTGTAACACCGGCTACAACTACCCTACACCCTCCCAGCCATTTAATGCTCTAGGGAAATAAATACCACGGGTTTCCAGCTGAGGATGAGTCCTCTACATCAGTTATATTTGTTGTATCATTTAGATTTCTGGAATACTTCAAACTTACATACTTTTAATGCATTTAATACATGTTACAATGTATGAATATGTAACACAAACCTTCAACATACAAATCTAGTACAGTAGAGCTAGTTTTTACAATAAAATATTTTTTTCTGAAAGTTGGTCTTTGTTTGACCTTAAGTGCTGTACCTTATTTTACTGTATTCTGTTCTCATAAATAAGTCCTTCAAGGGAAGTGCCTTGAGGCCGGTGATTGGCTCTTGACCCAAGGAATCATAGCTACCCTCCTTTTTCTTGGAGTCAAACCTGATTGCCTCCCATTCCCTGGGCGCTCTATGACATACGACTTATTGCTTTCTCATAAAATAATCAACACAGTGCAACTGCAACATGAGTAAAAGATTACATACACCGTGGGTACATTTTTTCGTGGCTAGTGAGCACTCATATAAATGTCAGGTCTATAAAAGATGGTTATATGAGAGGACAATAGTCCTTTCTGATTTCCTCCATTTATAGACAGGCAGTGGAATCCTATCTTCATTTATTAAAGATAACATCAGAATGATAAGTTGATTAGTAAAGCGAGACTCTTATTTCGGGTCTTACATAAACAGGGAAATAAACGTTACTTGTTTTGTGTTGTGACAATTAATATACACATGCATTGTTAGGATATTTTATTGATGGAACGTTTCGCCAGAATGGATTCTTCAATCCTACACTATAAGAAGTTATTCTTAGGTTTGAAGCCGTGAACGGGGTCTTTTCCAAGTAGTGTCCGGTCACGGCTTTCTGAAGGAGTGTCGGGTTTGTTTATAATGGTATCTGTACGAGTACATCGCATGTCTTTGATCACTGGGAACACTAGATAAGCTTCAGTCTTCTCTGGTGGCTTGGTCATCTGATGGCTGCAAGAGCAGACGTCTGCCAAGTGCCAAGATTGCAGTGTTCACATGGCTGTTATGTTCTGTCAAATATCCGTCTCTTGTTTTTACTTAGACAGCTGAGCATAGTGGGCGCATAATGTGCGCTGATCATTGGTCCTCTGGTAGGTTCGGAGGGTCTGACTGTGTTCCTGTCCCGTACCAATGCTGTCATCTAAATGCGCTCAGGGTTTCTCTCCATCGACTTGCCGGTAGGGTAGGTCAGCTTCTACTTGCCAAGACAAAACTTTTGGCAGGTAGAAGTTGACACGAATCTGGTGGTGCTGGTAGCCTGCTGGCTGCTACCAGCGAACCACCACACGTGATCGTAATCCAGTTGCATATGGCTGTTTTTTTTTTTAACCCTACAGCGTCTGTAGAATGCTCAAGATGGACGTGTCAGGCGTCTCCTGAGTCGGGCACATAGCTACGGGAATTATCTTACGGTATAGTGCGGACCGTAATATAACTAGTTTGTTTTATTACATTCACAGGGATGGAACGCTAAACGTAGAGATCAATAGGTGAATTTGTGTGGTATGGAAGTCAATCAGGTTCGATAATGAGCTTGTATGTGAGACTTGATCGTACAGCGATTTACCGTATTCAAACGTTGGCAGGTTTTTCCCATGAACCCTAGCTGTTCTTGTCTTTGGGTTGGTTATGTATATTTCTTGGGGCAGTACCGAGCCCTGGTCACTGGGGGTTCACCTTGTGATGGTTATTATCTCCAACAATTTTTGTGACATTCGTAACCATTGTGGTCCATTACTCACCTTAACAACGATTTGCTGTTTTGCTAAGTAGTTCCAGATGATATTTGGGAGATGAGGCAAAAACAATTTCAAATTGCAGTGTGTTAATTCTCTCAGCTACCTAGGAAGCTACGCTTATCTTAATTCACAGAAGGAGAAATTCAATGTCCTCCTTGACGTGCAAGAAAGAAAGTGTAAAGTAAAAGGACACATTGTGGAACTATATGTGACATTTAATGTGGCAACGTTTTCGCTCTCCAGGAGCTTTATCAAGCCATTACAAACAATACATGGACAC